GGCGGCGAGCCAGAGGACCAGCAGGGGGCGAGCAGACAGCAGCAGCTGGAGTGGGACGACTCCACCCTCACCTACTAAAAAAACAACACCACACACACACAAACACACGCCACACGAGCTCTGACACACACACACACACACACATCACCGACTCACACTCACTCACTGCGTCACACACTCCCCTCCCTACAGTTTCATGTCTAGGAGCCATGATGTAAAAAAAACACACACACACACACAAACAACAAAAAAAAAGAGAAAAGGAAAAACAAAAATTCCCTTCAGCGTATATATGGTCAAGGTTTTCCTGTTGTTATCTTAGTGGTGGTACTCAGTGTAGTGTAGTCATCACCGGATTGCTGATTTTTACTTTTTATTTTTTTATTTATTATATTTTAATTCCCAGGAAAACTTGGCCAACATTTGTTTTGAACTGTGTGAGGAAGCCAACCCTGCACTTTTTGTTTTTGTTTGTTTTCTCTCAGATGTGAGGCTTTCGGAAGGAGAATGCATTTCTGTTTTCCTGATGTATATTCTTTGCTAATGCTTTTAGATTTGCTAAACTCACAAATAGCTTTGACTTGAGTTTTCTTGACTTGTAGTCCACAGTGAAACAAAAACGATGCTTTTAACAAGTAGACTGCATTTTCTTTCTTTCTTTTTTGTTTTTGTTTTGTTCGTTTTCTTCTTTTAGTGCATGAGGACATTTGGAAAGTCATATGTGTAGAGAAATAAAATTGCTTTTTAAAGATTTTGTAAATATAAAGAAACCATGTAATTAGTCAATGTGTTAGTGAAGGCCTACTCAACAGGGGTCCAATATCTAAAACGACGCAGTACGTAATGTAGAATATTTGTGTCACACAGGCTGTAGCATGTCGCTAAATTTCTGCAAAAGCTGTTCCATCATGCTTGTACAAAAATGTCTGCTTCACGATGAGAAACCCAGGACTGTTCAGCGGAGGTTTCCATGACAAAGTGGTGTCCATTTTGTCTTTCTTTTCTTCTTCTTCTTTCTTTTGCAAGGAGTAAAAAAAATCGTTTCTTTCTCGTAGGCAGGACTGGTCGACGGTTTCAGCTTCATACATGCTTTTGCTTTGCTTGCACAGGTGGCAATGCTCTACTCCTGGCGTTCAGTGTATTTCATTCCCAGTAGATCTCACTGTTGTACAGAAGGGATTTTTTTTCTTTTTTTTTTTTTTGTTAATCGTGCTCAGAGAAATGCTAATGTACAAAAATCGACATTTCGCGCGGAGCCTCACAGACGGCGGGTCAGCGGTGCTTGTTGATCTTGAAATATGGGTACTAATAAAAATTTCTGCGAGTGTATTTGGACAAGCAGAGAGCTTCTTTTTTTTTTTTTTTTCCTCCTCAGCAGCTTTAAAGCCTTCGTCCGTTATCCCAGTCCTACTGTGCTGACAGAAGTAGGAAGGAGGAAAAAAAAAAAAACAACAAACCTTTCACACTACTAGAAAAGCATATTTATGACCGACAGAGCTTTAGTGGAGACTGGTCCAATAGTTTTTTTTTTGGGAGAGTAGTGAAATGAAAGAATTGCTTTGTGGCAAGTTTATTTTCCATGGCACGGCTATTTAACCTTGAAATAATAATAATACATTTATCGGATATGTTTTTAAACTGTTTTCTTCGCTGTCTTTATTGTAGAATTTACAAGTGAGGGTCCGACAGCAGGAAAACGCTTTACAAACCCATCTCCTTCTTGTTGGAATCTTAAAATGAGATATTTTTTTGCAGTAGACCACTAGATTTTATTGTACATGGAACTGTACTGTAGAGTTGTTCTAAGATATTTGTTTACATTTGGTAAACTTATTTTCCTTCTGGTATTAGTATCAAAGCTTATACAATTGATTGGGAAAATGTGTCCAACCTCTATCTCCTCTCAGACACTGTTGTCCATCACTGTTGTATATATCTTTCACAGAACCAGATAAAAAAACGTACCTACACCTCCCTCCCCCACCTCCCTCCCTGGAAATATTTAGTGTTCGTCTCATGCTTTTTTTGGGGCTACCAAGATGAGTGTAAACATTTCCCAAACCTGCATTAATTCAGACCAGATTTGGGGCGTCGCAGCGTGCAGGTAGTGGCGTAAACCCGGAGTTAACTTGGCGTGTGAATCTACAATATTAATTCTTTTTCGGAGACAGTTTCCAAGCTACCGTTGATGGTTTGAGTCACACAGTGGACGTTTCATGATTTTTCTAGGTCTGTGCTGGAAATGTAGTGAACACTCTCTCCTACATAATGACCTGGACTTGTAATAAAAAGTAAAATAAAGGTTTCTGGGGGGGGGATCAGGTCTGAGCCGGCTGAGATGGGAGTGCCTTTTGCCGATCATAGCGTAATTAGCGGGTCTATTAATAACATTTATCCATGCTCTTTTATTTGTGGCAACTTTGTTTTTGTTTTTTTTTAATCTGTTCAATGCTAGCTGGGGATACGTTTCCTCTCAGTTCGTCGTAACAAATAGTCCACCGCTAGTTTTATTAAAAAGTGAAAACATTTTACATAGATGTCACGTGTCCTTGTTGATGTTTAGAGGAAGTAGATCCATATTGTATCTTCTATAGATATTGTACTAAATCATATTGACGGAATCCACCTTTAAAAAGATGTACAGTACATTAAATGAAATTGCTTTGGCAGCATACTTGGGTATACTGTTAACTGACCTATTTGTGTATAGTGGAAGGTGATCTTTTTTTTTGTTTGTTTTTTTGTTTTTTTGAACAGTGTCCTATTGCCTGAGTTGTCGAGAAATGATTTTGAGGGCAGCATGAAATTCACAAAAGTATAAGCCTGTCAACTCCTCACGAGTTTCATCACACTTCATGTCCACATTTCAGCGACGGTTTTAAAGTACGGTACCATGATGTTTTCACACCGGCTCCGAAGCCAACAGTGGCTCCACCATTTCCACTTTTCTGGGTTATATTGTTTCCGATCAGCCCTTTCCCCCGAGCTGAGGTTTGGTTGAAATGAATGTCACTGCCTAACAACCTGAATTGCAGCCATACTGTAACAACACTAAAGGGGTTTGAATTGACTTTGCATGAACCACAAGTTTGTGTTCGTTCCATGTGGGGTTGTGAGACTGGAGTGAGAAAGGAGACGTGATACACTACTGATTCTCAAGATTGTCTTGTTTCACACATCCATGACACTCCAGATATTTTTGTTTTTGTTTTTGTTTTTTTCTTTCTTTTAAAAATTTGCTCAAAACGGACGGTGACAATGTTTTCAGGACGGTTGGATGCTTCCTTTGTGCTTGTTGGAGCTGCTCTCACTTTTCTACCAATTGAAAGGCAAATTGTAGTGAAGTTGATGCTTGCTCGTAAACAAAATAAAGGATGATGAGATGGGGAATAAATTCTGTCTTCTCTTGTTTTGCCTCGGTCGCATCTTGTGCTATAAACGCAGCACACACAGCTCTGGTTTATTGTAGGAGAGGAACACACCCTGGTTGGTCCAAGTGTTGTCAGTCTGGAGCACTGCTGCCCTCTGGTGGAGGAAATCCTCTAGAGTGTAAAACTAGAAATCATTTCACAGCTTAAACACAGTAAATAATAAATAAAACACCATGTTACTGATTTTTTTTTCTTTTTTTTACTCACATTCAGAGTAGCATCAAAACTGAATATCAACACTACAGCTGGTGTTTACAGTCTTTCAACTTTCAACTTTTACATGAATTCTGATCACAAGATCACACTTCATTACTGTAAATTCCAGCAGTTTAAATAGCTTGACAATCAATGAATGCATGTAGAGGATCAGCAAAAAACACCAAACTCTGTAAACTCTCCCATATGTTTTTTTGCCCTCCAAAGTATGCACTGAACTGCAGTTCTTTAGAGGTGAGAAGGAGGATAATCTACGGATTAACTTTAAAATGGTTTTAAAGCATTCAGATGTGCTGCTTCAACAGATGGTGGGAGGTGTTTTCATATTTTATCCTGCTAAATCTTTAGCTTTTTTATCTTTATTTATAAAGATTTAACTGAAGATTTAATGGGGCTCTTTTCCCCTCATGATGCATCTGAGCGCTGTATTTGTACTCAATAGCAGCAGGTTCTGAAAGGTTCTCAGGTTAGAGATAGAAGCTTTAGGATGCTCATACAGTTAATACTGTGTTGGGTTAGAAAATCGATAGAAGAGTCCTTACTTGTATTTCATTTCTATCAGAGTTGTGACTTGTTTCAGGTGGGTTTTTTTTTAACATATTTGGGTGTTTTATCATTTTTCAGGCTGCAAGGTGGTTCAGTGGTTAGCACCGTTGCCTCGCAGCAAGAAGGTCGCCGGTTTGAGGACACCCGGGATCTTTCTGCGTGCAGTGTGGGTTCTCTCCGGGTTCTCCAGCTTCCTCCCACAGTCCAAAAACATGTTGAGGTTAATTGGTGATACTAAATTGTTCGTAGGTGTGAATGTGAGTGTGCTTGGTTGTCTGTCTCTAAGTGTAGCTCTGTGATAGACTGGTGACCCGTCCAGGGTGTCCCCTGCCTTCACCCTGAGTCAGCTGGGATAGACTCCACCCCCCATGACCCTAGTGAGGATTAAGCGGTGTATAGATAATGGATGGATTGATATTTTAGGGTTTTTTTTAGGCATTTTTGTGCCTTTACTTGAGAGACAGTGGAAGGAAAAGGTAAATGCAGAAATGAGAGGAGGGGAATGAAATGCATTTAAGTGGTATTTACCCCAAACACTTTGTTATCAGGTTTTTCGGTATTCAATATTAAACTTCTGCCTAACAGAGAATGCGCATATTTTTTATGTTAGATTTTTTTTAAACTCCTGTTAAAGAGGTGATTGGCAGAAATGTCAGAGGTGGTATTCTGTCAAACCTTCCTGTATGAATACCGTACTGCACGTTCTCTATGCTCACCACATTATTTGCCACTGTTAGTGTCATTGTGTATGATGTTACTTTGAAAGTTCTGCTCTGTGTGGTGTTTCTGGTATCCAGTCCACAGCCCTTCACACGGCAACGTTTAGTTTAAATAATCCACATCATGAACATTTGCAGCTTTTGCACACATCTTAAAAACAGCAAACTGTTGAATTGTCATGTTTTAAAACAGACACAGCAACCCAATAAAGAACACAGCACAAATCACAACAGAATATTCTTCTTGAACCGCCTGCGCTGTCGGCTACATTCACGATCATATTTAACAAATCACATGCTCGTACCTATAATACAATTTTACACTCATCTGGACAAGACATTTAAAAAAAAAAAAAAAAAAGTTGACAAGTATAAAACAATACTATTAAAAAGTGTTAGCGTCTACAGTGGCACCTAAAAGTGCACCGATTATTTACAAAAATCTGTGATCGATTGGCACATTTTTTTCACGGTAAGAACAAAGAAGTTGACTTAAAATTAACATTTTCAGAATCGCTATGCCTTGGTTTTCACACCAGAGCTAGCTAAAGCCATAATTTTGTCTTCAGAGCCTGAAAAAGGAAGGAAAAACAAGATGAATATGAATATCCCCTCAAAAATTGAGGGATTAAATGTTCCAGTGCAGACATGTTTATGCTCACCCAGGTTTGCAGTCACTTTTTCAAACTGGCTCAGAACAGCTGTAGCATTTTCAGTGAGAAAAGTCTCATCCTCCGGAGTGAGCTGTCAGAAAATCACAACACGTTTAAAATGTTGCAGCTCCTTTAGAGGTAAGATTTAGGCATTTTTTTAAGTCACTGGTCTGTCAGTCTAGTGACAGCTTCGTGACTAAGACAAATCAAAGCAGCTTTAAGACGCTGATGTGGACTCATGAGCACAAGCCACTGAATCATCTGTGGAAAAAAGAACACATCTGCTGTGACTCTTCCTCACCTTCTCTCCCAGTTTTCTCAAGGCTGTGAGGATTTCCAGTTTCTGCTGCGTGTACACGTCCCGCGACAGCTTCCCCACCATCACGTCTCGGTCCATCTGCGCAGAATGTCACACAGCAGTGGGACAGTTTTCATGCCAGGCAGTGTACAGATAAACAACCACGAAGCAGCTGAGTAGTTAAATGACAATAACGATATCCAAAATCCAAACCTCGGCTAGTCTGGTTCTCAGTTGTCCCGGCTGCTTCTTGGCAAAAAGGCGGATCACTTCTGGAGTTTTGAATGCTTGGCTGATGGCAGCTTGGATGGCCTGATGAAGACAGACACGTATGAAACATTCGAACATTTCCACAAGTCATTAAACTGTTCTAGTCATTTCTTGATGAGCTATAACATCTTTGTGTCACCCATAGTGTGCAGTGGTTGTACGTTATTTGTTGATTTGTGACCAGACATACAGGAACTCTGTAGGAAGGCCTTCTTTCACTTTTACTCTGGAACATTCTGTCTCAGAGTGATGCTTTAAAGCGAATCCATGCATTTGTTAGTTCTAGGCTGAACTATTACAATTCCTTATTATCATGATGGCCCAATATCTCTCTAATAAAACTCCAGTTGCTCCAGAATGCTGCAACAACAGGTCTGACAGGAAACCAGCAAGAGAGATTATATTCCAGCCATCTCTTCACTGGCTCCCTGGAACATCCAGAATAGAATTTAAAATCCTGATTTCTACATACAAACCCTGAATAACAAACTCCATTGTATCTTAACCCTATTCAGGACTTTCATGTTGCCATACGTATGTCTTTCTGGGCCCATTGGACCCCAAGAAAGAATATGTGCAAGACATTTGTTGATATTCATTCTAGACTTTTATACTATGTTAAATAAATTTTCTGATAAGTTGACATATTTTTGGTTCTAAATGCATGACAAATGTCCCTCTTTATGTGTGTGTGTGTGTGTGTGTGTGTGTGTGTATACATATATAAATTTCCCCCAAAAGTCCTGAAAAGGGTTAAAGACCACATTCTACCATACAAACCCAATACAGCACTTCCCTCCCTTTTTTACTCCTGAAGTTCCTGAAGTCTATCCTTCAGCTATCAGGCTCCTCTGCTGTGGATCCATCTCCAAGTTTGGGTTCAGGAGGCAGACACTTTCTCTACTCTTAAGGTAAAGCTTGACAAAGTTTATAAATAGGACTGGCTCAGGTGACCGTGAACCATCTTTTAGTCATGCTGCCCTAGTCTTACGCTGTTGGGGGACTTCCAATGATGCATGACCACCTCTCCTCTACTGTCCTTTCTTTCTCTCCATACATTTATATGCCACCATTGCATGCCACCATTTTTGCGTCTTCTCTGTCTCATAGTTGTGTCCTCTCTGCAGGCATCTCCAACTAAGGAGCTACATGTTTCCGATCTGCTGCAGCTCATGTCCTGATCAACCTCCCCAGTGTTTATTGGCCTTTTCATAGATTGATTTTCTGTGTGCTTTTGTTTACCCTCCCCTTTACTCTCACACCAACCAGTCGAGGCAGATGGACGCTGCCTCCCTAGAGTTGTTAGGCCTCTCTCTTGACTTATATTGTGAGTTGGCAGAACAGGAAATAAATACATTGATTAGATTGTCCATACCAGCTGCATTCCACTGAGTTCATCCACAAGGGTCATGTCCCCTGTCATTATCTTCTTGAGGGAGTCATTGAATTCCTCCAGCTGTTCCAAGGTTTCCTTCTTTGTCTCTTCATACTCTTCCTCATCCAGTTCTTCCCTGTAATAAACAAAGAAAGGATAAGAAATGAATGCTAATATATACTGAAGTACTTTGGATTCAGTTAAACTCTCTACACTGCACCTGCATTCCTCCAGGTCCTGAAGCTGCTGCATCAGTCTGTCAAGTTGTTCCTCCATATTCTGCCTCAGTTTGCCGGTTTCTGATTTCCCACGAGAAGCCATCCTTAGTTAAAATCGTGTTTCAAACCTCCTGAGAACAAAACAGAGAACTGTCAGCCCACAACAGGTTATGCTGAGTATGACTGCACACAGATAACTTAACCTGTCGTGCTAATTAGACTGCATCAGAAAGGCGTCGTTGAAGCTACCTATACAACACAGTTGTTCCCTCAGTGAGACAATATCTACTATAGTCACAAGCTGGATTAATGTTTATGCTGGAAACTCGTGAAAGCACTTAAAGTTGCTTAGTTAGCTGAGTAGCTAGCTAGCATGCTAACAGAAAATATCTCACCGGGATTCTCTTTGTAAACAGTTGAAAATCAATCTTGCGACAAGTAAAATATTTTTTTCAGCCTGACGAATGTAGCATTAAAATTAACAAAACGCCGAAGTGGAATTCTACAAAAAAATAGGCACTTAAATAAAATCTAAAACGTTTGATAAATGTCGTTGCGTTGGAGGTTTAAGGATTTGTGATTGTGAATGTAGCTCATGAATGTGGGTGCGGCTCTCAGCTTCCTGTTTGGTTCTGACCAATCAGATTGGTCGATGTGTACGTCAGTTACGTCGCTACAGGAAATAGGCGAAACAACACAACATAGTAGAACGACGGTGTTTCTCCTGGTAGTACAATGACCGCATTACTTAACTTTATATTAGAAAAGCTTTGCTGTTTAAGTTCGGCTCTAAGTTCATGTCTTCTCTGCTTAAGAATCCTTTACGTTTCTGATGGTGTCCGTAAATAAATATGTTGCGCTGCCTGGTTTCAGATAAAGCTAACGTCTGCTACTTTTACTTTTTAATGCTAACTTTTAATAAAGATGGTATAGCATATAGCTTAGGTACTTTTAATTTTGTTCATTTGTTGCTTCTGTCTGACTCTTTTATTGTGGTGTAATGGATGCAGACAGAGTTTCCAAAAGTTCAGAGCACCAAAGCGGTTTCTGACATGTGACAAGTGAAAGCAATTAGCTAAACCTTGCTCACTGTTTCGTTTCTGCTGTTGTAGTGTAAGCCCAGCTCCAGTATGAGTGGTGATAAAACCAAAGTGGTCCTGCTGGCCTGCGGGTCCTTCAACCCCATCACCAACATGCACCTGAGGATGTTTGAACTGGCGCGAGATCATCTGGAGGAGACAGGTGAGATGAAAAATACATGTAATAGAGTAATTCAAGCTACAGACCTGCATCAATGCATGTGTCTGTTTCTTGTGTGATAATAGCCTTGTTCGTCTTTAAATTGGACTGAAATCATTTTGCTGGAATTAAAATTAGTTTTGCGATATGTTGATGTAATATTTATGCAATGTTTTAAAAAAATATATAATATACACATACAAACTTATTGTACTGTTTACATGAGGGTCACGTAGAGGGTTATTCACTAGAGTTGACAAAAAGTCGTTGTGATAATTCCTTGTTACTGTATCTGTAGCATCATCAGTGATTGGTAAATTAACATTGTTATGTTGAGAATTTAAAAATCATTATAATAAAGCTTTAGTAAACATAACTTTTGTCCGAGACCCTCAGTTTAAAATTAAAAGACATTAATCAAACCGAACCAAAAACTGTTTCCATATGTGTTACCAAAAATTTATGTTGCAGGTAAAGAAAGAACATAATTTTTTTTTTTTTAAATGTTGTTCTTATGCATTCGTAATAAGATTGTATAGATTAAAAGGACTCATACAAACAACTTAATGTGTTCACTTACAGATGTTTCTTGTGTAGATATATTAAAGTTGGAAATCTATACATTTTGAAAGACAAGGTTTTAGAGAAAAGAAACCTTACTATTTTATACAGTGAGTACACCAACCCTTTAAAATGATTCTTTTTTAAGTCATTCATTGAAGTGTGGAGTCATGTACACACTGTGCGGGTAAAAGCAGGTATTGAATTCTGAGTCTGCTTTGAAGCAAGTACCTGCATCTGCTGTGCTGCTGTTTGTAATCTCTTGTTAAATCACACTTCCTCCTTTGTGTCAAAGGTCAGTACAGAGTGGTGAAAGGAATCATCTCTCCAGTCTGTGATGGCTACAAGAAAAAGGGTTTGATTGAGGCCTGCCACCGCCTGGAGATGGCCAAATTGGCCGTAGAAGACTCAGGCTGGATTACAGTAGATTCCTGGGAGGGCATGCAGCCAGAGTGGTTGGAGACAGCTAAAGTTGTTCGGTAAGCTGACAAATCTTATGTCTTGTTAGTGACAGTGCCTGTGCTTCCTGTATCTGTTAGATTTCTTATTGCTTCAGTGCCTTGACTCAAGCATTTGAAAACTGTCGTAACTTCACCACTATGTTGCAGTGACAAACAATTACAAGCACACTCTCAAGCAGTTTTCGATTAGCTGTGAGACAAATGATTAATGACGGTTTTAAGTTTGCACATATGTTACCAAATGAGAGCAGCTCCAAGAGGCTAACTGGCTTGATATAAGTCTTGTATCATGTCATCACCACTGCTCATTCTTACAGGGCATTAAAATCCATCCAGTTACATTGTAAAGTTTTATTTATATATCTATATATGTGTGTGTGTGTGTGTGTGTGTGTGTGAGTGTAATATGTCATTTAATCTCTGAATTGTGTCTGAATTATTTTTTAAATCATTATCTGTCACCCTAAAAGAAGAAATGTTGACTTTATTGTCTGTTTTCAAACACAGTATGTCAAGATAGTTCCAGATAGCAACCTTACTATAATGTTAAAAATTGGACAAAAGCCACTTCTTTCAATATTTGGTTAATTGCTTGGATATTTTTTAGAAAAGAGTGACCTTTTTCTACTTTTGTTCTTTCTACTGAATTTCATCTGACAGATTCTGACTTGCTGCTATAAAGAATTTAATTAATTTGAAAGCTACGCTGCACAACTGTCATGTTTCAAACAGGATAGTTATTAGTATAAATCACTGAATTCCCCCTGGAAATTACTTGATGAAAGAAAAAAAAGTAACTCAAACTGCATCTGAACTGCAGCCTCACAATCCGAACTAAACACACAGAAAGTTGTGTACAAAGTTAAAGTTAAATTTTGACTAAAAATGTACTTTGGAGAAAGAGACAATAATGTTTATGTGGTTTTGAATATTTGGGTGTTTTATCATTATTTTATGCTGTAAGGTGGAGCGGTGGTTAGCACTGTTGCCTCGCAGCTAGAAGGTCGCCGGTTCCCAACCCTGGTGAGGACACCCGGGATCTTTCTGCGTGGAGTCTCCCTGTTCTCCCCGTGCAGCATGGGTTCTCTCCGGGTTCTCTAGCTTCCTCCCACAGTCCACAAACATGTTGAGGTTAATTGGTGATTCTAAATTGTCCGTAGGTGTGAATGTGAGTGTGCTTGGTTGTCTGTCTCTAAGTGTAGCCCTGTGATAGACTGGTGACCTGTCCAGGGTGTCCCCTGCCTTCACCCTGAGTCAGCTGGGATAGATAGATAATGGATGGATGGTTTTGAATAATGGCATTGTTATCAACTGTTGTGTCTGTATCCACACAGCCATCACTATGAGGAACTGCTAGCAATGGAGAACAACGATGATGTGGACACAGTTAAGTATGCAAAAAAGAGGCGCATACAAGACTGTTTTGAGAGTTCGTCTAATCACAAAGGGTCAGGTATGTTATGTCATGTTATGTTTTGTCATTAACTCCCCTTTTCCAAACCCTGAATCCTCACAGGTGACAAGTATTCAGGATTTACTGTATTCAGCTTAATTAACAGAGGGTAAAGATTTAAGGGTGTGGATACTCTGGTGTGGTGATGTCACCTGATCACACCACACAAAGGCAGACAGGTGTAAGACAGCAAGAGACGAGCCTCCAAGGGTGAAATAAATGAAGTGTATTGCATTTTAATTCTTTCAGCATACAGCCACAAGGTGCATACTGTGCCATGTATTCATGTTCTAATTATCTCCATTAAGATGATTAATTGAAGTGTTGAGCCGACTCCACAATTCTAGCACTGCGCTCACTCAGACCTACAATAGACTGTTTAAAGAAAGTAAGTCAGTGTAGCTGATACTGTCTTTCTTTATACCACACATTGTTTTTCCTTATCTAAACCTGGACCCCACGTGATTCACAATGCAACGTGACCACTGACATTTCATTTTGACGTGTGTGTTATGATAGTCACGGTTAATGTAAGCTTGCTCCTTTCTGTCTCCACACCCTGATTTGAGTGATATCACTGCTGGTGATTTATCAGATTTAACGCAGCTCCCCCATTATGCAACTTTTTTCACATATGCAGAACAGTAAACCGACTTTGATGTGCAAAACTGGTGCAGTTCTAATAACTTATCGATACCGCTGGAGATTACTGACGACTCCCAGTCGTTCTCAAATGTATTCATACCCTTCCATTAAAGAAAAGGCAAAATTCACAATCGTCACTCAAATAACTAGAAACTGAAAAAAAGTAAGAATAAATTTTTAAAAATGCTGAATTATAATTTAGTGAAATAAGACATTGCTTTTGAATTGTGGTTGAGAAGAATAATTAGGGGGGAAAAAAAAAACTGTCCCAGACAAACTAGAGCACTTTGCTGATGAGCAGTGGGCCAAAATCCAAACACCTGTCAACAGGTGCAGAAGTCTGACTGAGAGTTACAGAAAACACTTGATTGCAGTGATTGGCTCAAAGGGTTGTTCAACAAAGTATTAGTTCACGGGTCCCTTCATGCTGGTTTGTTTGTTTATTTTTTTGGCTGTTTCATATATATATATATGAAACTGAATTTCCCTTCTGGGATAAATAAAGTATTTTTTTTCATATATTTCTGTTGAACCACAATTCTAAAGTAATGTCATGATTTTCATTAACTTTTTTATTTATTGTTACTTTTGTCAATTTCAACTTATTTCAGTGACAGCTGTTTTTTTCCTTCTTTAATGAGAGGGTGTGAATACATTTGAGGATGACTGTATGAAAACAGTGAATGTCAGAGTTGTATCTGTCAGAGAGAGACAACCATGGCTTCCATTATAACTGAACTCTTGTCTTTACACTCAGATGGTCTTCAGCTGATGCTGCTGTGTGGAGCTGATGTCCTGGAGTCCTTTGGGATTCCCAATTTGTGGAAGCCGGAGGATATCGTTGAAATTGTGGGCAGCCACGGTATGGTGTGCATCACCCGCAGTGGCAGCGACCCACACAAGTTCATCCACGAGTCAGACGTGCTGTGGAAGTATCGCAAGAACATCCACATAGTCCGCGAATGGGTCAGCAATGACATCTCAGCCACACACGTGCGGCGGGCGCTGCGTCGAAGTCGGAGCATCAGATACCTGCTGCCAGACAGCGTCGTTTGCTACATCGGAGAGCACCGTCTCTACAGTGCTGAGAGCGAGAAGAAAAACAATGATGTGATTCTAGCACCCCTTCAGAGATACACGACGGCCTCCACGAGCTGAGGATGCTGTGAATTCAAAGCTAACACATCCAGTTTATTTAAGCTTCCACCAGTGCCTTCTGTATAGAACACACTTCTCTAACAGACTGTTGTCAATGAGTGCATTTCAGTGAAATATTCAGACTTACTTGAATGAAGGGAGTCAGTTTCACTTTGCTGTAACTCAGTGTGTGTGTGTGTGTGTGTGTGTAAAAGTACACGAGTCAAAAACAAAGTGACTGAACAACAGTTTAACTTTCTAAATGCAGCTGCTGTGTAGTTATTTAAATAGAGATTTTACAATTCTGTATGAAGCGATCAACACATGTCAGTTAGTACTGCATTAAATATGACCATGAACAAATTCATTTTAATGTAGACTTGCTCTCACACAATTTCTTTCCCTGTTGCTTCAGTAGACTCCTCTCATCAGTTTTTGTGCCTAGAGCAGGATTTTTCCGTACACTCCCTCAGGCAAACACTAAAAGGAGGCTATATGCTTTAAACACCAGTGCTGCAGATTTGAAAGCGAAGGCGTTATTTGTTTTACACTCTAAATAAACCACCCGGTTTGTTTTTTTTTGCCTTGGAGCTGTTTATTGCTGTTACAGTCACACTGATGAGAAGCTTTGAATAGGAAGTGACACCTTTGCTGTTTGAATAAAATGCTGTTTTGTGAACTTACAGTGTCTCTCAGACAAGCATCACTATCAGAAGACTAGAGCTGAAATAACAAATTGCAAAGATTCATTGTGAAAGAAGTGGCAAGAAAATGAAAGTATTTCTGATTCCATTACAGTAGTATCAGAGTTAGTACTTTGTCATCTTACGTTTAATGTTGGAGTAATTATATTAAATTACAAGAAAAACTTGATTAAAAATGACTAAGCCTGATAAGTGTGAAAGCAGTGACTGAACATCATTACATCCCAAAGTCATGCTCACCTTATTGAACAGGTGATTAACAGGTCTGGGATGTGTCTCTATGACCCAGTTTATTCCTTGGCAGGAAATGAAACATGATTTAAAAAAAAAAAAAAAACAACTTCTGCTTAAAATCTTGAGCAGTCAGCCTGCTGACGTGCTAGTCATGAGGAGAAAAACCACTTCAGTGTTTGGACAAACTCCAGGTTGTTAGATTTTTTGTCAAGCTGGTATCACATCAATTCCGTGCCAGAGTATGAAGTGGCGTCAATATGTTTTTTTTTCCTCATTGCACAGGAAGGTGTGCCTTTTTAATGTAGTTCATCTTCATGAAAATACCAGTCGTTTGATTTAAAGCCAGGTTTACTGTACAGTTGTGATTTGACTCTTTCCTTTCCTGTTACGCAATTACATCAGTCGTAAAAATGAAAACTAAACAAAAGAATTTGGGGGAATAACACTGACAGTAAACATGAATATGAAGCATGGGTGAATTTTGCTTATATGTGGCTGCAGACAGACTCTTTAGTTTAATTCATTCATTTGGTTTGATGGGAAACATTAAGGTCAGCAGCGTATTCTTCACATGCATGACATACCTGCGGCGCATCTTGACGGGTGTATTTACGAGTAAAGTGTGCGGCGAGACCAGTCTGACACGTCTGGCTTTCGCTTTACAGTGACAACAAACCCAGAAAGGTCACACCTACCTTTCTCGCCACCAACTTTCTCACAGAACACCAGAGCCTCGGCGTCTTTTCCGGACTCTGCATCAGCTCAGCAGGTGGAGGATCACAGTTTATTCCCACACGTCTCTAAAGGAGGAAAATAGGTGATCAACATGCCTGCCAGCTTCTGTGGCACATGGGACATGATCAGCAGTGCCAACATTGAGGGCTACATGATTGCACTGGGTAAGTCTTTGAAGCATGTTGCTTTCATCCCAAAATATTCTGTGATACGTTAAATTGTAGAACGTAGGATGCAATATTGGATCTCCTGTCATTCAAACTTGTAATGTACAGTAAAGGTTCAAGGGTGCTTTATTAATGGGTAGATTTGTTTTTCAGAAAACAGATGATAGCAGTCCTTAACAAAGCACGCATTGAACCGGACAGGCAGGTGCTTGATCGAGTGACAACGGGGGAAAAAAAGACAAAAAAGTACTCAGTGTTCCACCATTCATCAATATAACAGCAAGGAAGTGAAAAGATAAGATAAGATCAAGATAAATAAAGATAAAACACAATTTTAAAAACAACATAGGGGCATAAAAGCAAACACACCAGGTCAAGCACAAAATGCACACATGTACAACCATCCAACATGAAATAGGACACAGAGTGAAATGAACTGCCAGAATGGAGAGAAAAAAAGATTTTGGCTTCAAGTTGCAGCAGTGTTATTCACGGCATGCATGGGACCGTGTGAGCAAAGGGAATGGGTTCGTTGCCTGTGGCCGAGTTTGGTCCCTTTTGATTTGTACTTTGTGTGCTTCTCCAGGTATCAGCTTTTACCTCCGAAAGATTGCTGCGAGGCTGAAGCTGAGGAAAGTGATTGAGCAGCCGGGGGACCAGTACATCATCAAAACCACCAGCTCCTTCCGAAACTACACCGTCTCATTCAAAGTGAACCAAGAGTTTGAGGAGTTCACGCAAGGACTGGACAACAGACTTGTCAAGGTGAAGATGAATGGCAGAGTTGTGTATTTAAAGCAATAAGAAACGCAACGACCGCAAGTGGTTTATAGATAATGTGCATTGGATTTTATGCGTGCTGCTAAAAATGTTCTGTGTTGTGATTTATGCCCTCTCTCTTCTTCTCTGCCATCTGTTCAGTCGCTGGTGACGTGGGAGGGGAATAAACTGGTGTGTGAACAGCATGGGGAGAAGAAGAACCGAGGCTGGGCTCACTGGATTGAAGACGACAAGCTTCATCTGGTAGGAATAAGAATGTGGATGTTTTATTTATCAAAATGACAAACCTAGGTTGTTTTATTCTTGTAATATTTCCTGAAAATGTCTTTACTCAATATTTCTGTGATTTATTACCCTCAGGAGATGTACTGCGAAGGAGAAGTCTGCAAGCAGGTCTACAAAAAGAATGTCAATGAGTGAAGAGGAGTCAAAAGTTGTATTCCTGCAGAAGCTGCTCTGTGGTCGAAGGCTTTATGTGTTCAATCTGCTACTGTAAATCCTGAAAAGCACTGGTGAAGATCAGTCTGTGGTATTTTCTCTGTCATGTGACCTTAGTACACAGGTCAGGAGGAAACGTGTGTGCTGTCGGGGTACAGAGTCACACCACTAGATGGCATCGCTGCATTACTTTTTGTCAGATACTGATCTATCTGCTTTGAAGTTTGTTGGCAGTGGCCTTAGAAAAACACTGAACATGAAGGATGTTTATGTTTCCTCTCAGCTGGATTTTTGTTTCCTTTATATCTCTATTGTCTGCCAACAGAAACGTGGGATATCACATGAAGGCTTGTGCTGTCCATTTGACATGTATCTGAGCTTTTGTACAATTCTCATTCCAAATATAACAAAAAAGTTAGGTGCTGGATATTTGGAATGTAATTTTAGTATATGTCAATTTTGTGTGAATAAAATGGGTCTGAAATAAATTTGAAGTATACAATATTTTCTCTAATTCTAGGCTCTGGTTTAACTCGTTTAACTTGTGTTTTTGTTTGATCAAATGATTTTAGAGACTGTAGTTTAGACTGGCTCGCAAATGTGATGACTTGTCACGTGATCATGAGCAAAAAATTTGAACAATGTCACTACCTTTGTATTTGAAGTCTGTGCTCAGAGTGGCACAAAGGATTCTGAATGATACCAAACACGTGCTCAATCCAGAATTTGTCCAGTTGTAAACATTCATTCCATCCACCATCAAGATATTTATATAAGGGTCATATCTATTTGCAAGGTGGAACGGTGGTTAGCACCGTCGCCTCGCGGGCAAAAGTTCCCCAGTTCACGTCCTGGTATCCCGGGATCTTTCTGTATGGAGTTTGCATGTTCTTCCCCGTGCAGCGTGGGTTCTCTCCGGGTTCTCCGGCTTCCTCCCACAGTCCAAAAACATGTTGAGGTTAATTGGTGATTCTAAATTGTCCGTAGGTGTGAATGTGAGTGTGCTTGGTTGTCTGTCTCTAAGTGTAGCCCTGTGATAGACTGGTGACCTTCACCCTGAGTCAGCTGGGATAAACTCCAGCCCCCCGTGACCCTAGTGAGGATTAAACGATGTATAGATAATGGATGGATGGATATTATCTGCTGATATCTAATACATCTTTTTCTATAGAATCACTGTTTGTTAGTATTTGTAGCCTACCTAGTGTCGTCTGTTACTTTTTCAATCTGCTTTCTTTGAACTTAATTCTTATTATTTTATTTATCTAGCTATGTAGCAGTCTATCCATAGCAAACTTGTAGATTTGACCTGTGCCATACATCCCACTTGTGATGTTGCTGAAACTGCTTAAACAGCCTGAACGATACCTGTGTATGTTGTCTGCTATGCGTCAATATGAAAACTTCCTTTGTTTTTTTCCAGACATGTTGTATAAAAAGATACTTAGATTAATTTTGAAATGGTGCAACAATCTAGCTTCTTCAGCAGAGATGCTCGGACTCCATTGTTTACAGCACTGTCTGCAGCACATGTAGCAGAGCACACCTCCTAGTTGAGCAGATGGTGTGGAGTCAAGCTGTGTCTTTACGGTACGCTGTTAACAAGTTTGCTGGAATTCTAATAAACCACGACCCAGTAACTGTCCCTGTCAACATAACTCTAGCATTCTGATGGTATACATGTATTACTCATAGGCAATAATAACATAAGGATAGCCGTTAAAGCACACAATAAACCATCAAGTTTGGTTTCTTCCTACCTCCTAATATCCTTTTATATCCCTTTGTAATAGAGCATGTGACTCTCCCAGTTGGCTTCTGTGCAAGTATCCCAAGGTGCACTAGTTTGCCCCCGATGCCCCATAATAACCTGCAGCAACTCCTGATTTTACTTAATGCGAAAGAGAGATCATTCCTTTATTCTGTTTAACTTTTAAAATGTGTTAATTTTTTGATTTTTTTTTAACATTAAAAGTGTGTTGTTGTTTTAAAATTATTCTTATAAACAGACTATGGTGGATAAATTTAAATTAAGTCTTTATTATATATACATACATGTCTATATCTGAGATGTAGATATATATTATCCTGTAATAACTAACTTGATATCCACAGGCTGCTAGTACCTCATACTAACATCACAAACAACAATCTTTGTGGTGACCTTGTGCCCTACTGACAGTTCATACACACGGAGTTAATGAATAACTTCTGGCTGCGCTGATTATTTTTTTAAGGAAGAATGGAAACATCAGCATGAATCTGAAATAAGCTCTGAGCAGCGGGCAGGCAGCTCATTCATGAACACTGCGATAAATGGACCAAAAACACAGAGTTATTCACACACACAACAGGTGAAATACTAAATTTATCAATGCGACACAGTGAAGCCACACACCTCCAGCAGTCCCTTAAGTCACGTGACGTTTTGTAGAACCAAAATGGCCGCAGTTGTATTTTGACGTATAATAGCTAGCTACTTTTCTTTTTGTTTCATTCTTGGTAGAAAACTAGCAAACGAGGGACTTTTTGGAGGAACTATATCCTGCCACCCTCCACATACCGGCGTCCTAGTTTTTACCTTGAAGACAATCAAGACTGACACATATTTGTTGAAAGAGTTAGACTATGCATATTTAGTTCTAATACAAGCTAGCTAGCTGGCTCTGGCTGGCACGGTAAAGCAGTTGAAAGTAAAATAGCAAGCTAACTTAGCTGCGATGATGGAGGAGTTGAGCGCAGATGAGGTAAGATGACAATGGAAACACGCTCAAACTGAGCGCTGAGAATATTTTTTATTTTTCTGACGGTGCAATTTGGAGTTGTGTTTACAGATTTCTTCCCCCTTACCTTTGGTGGAGGTCTTGCTACTAGCCTAGTTGCTACAAAAGCTAGCTCCAATTTTAGCATAATCTAAATGGAAGAAAAGCACTCGCGACAAAATCCCATAGTTAGCTGAAGACCAGCACACACAAGTGCGTGTTGACTTCCACTAACCATGAGCTAAGTATTAAATATTATCTATAAATATGACGGGTGAATGACCGAGAACTTGGATGTGGGTCGTATGTTTGTGTCACCGCTGCCTGTGCCTATTAAATTTAGCCGGAGCAACGTGCTAACTAGCTACCGTAATGCTAAAGGCTGTGGACAAACTGAATAACATTATTTTTGAATAAAGCACCTAATTTCGTATGGCTATAAAACATTATTGTAATCCGACAGGTGTTTTCTCACGACTGTATTTAGTTAGACAACGTTGCATTTGGTTTCAAATTGGATTTGACACATCTTCCTGCGGGAAGCTAGCTTACAGTTGCTAACGTTGTTTTGCTAACAGCCAAAAAATTAGCCTGCGAGACGACTCAGCATAAAAAACACACCGGGCCACCATTGTGCAATCAACCGTGGGCCGACTGTATGGCCACCGAGCTGCTCTCCTTGAACCACACACGGTCTAAAATATTCTTTGTCGCCTTCCACTTGCGATTAGCTGCTAAATCAATACTCCGCTGAACTGCAGTTAATTTGCTACAACTGTTCAGCTCTTCGGCCAAGTTGTGACGATTGGTGCTCATAAGTGACTTTGTTCGTAATGTAGGTTACAATAAATGAGCCCTGGACCTTAAACTTAACACAATGTTATTCCAAAACGGATGAATGATGATCTATCTTTTGTGTGTGTGTGTGTGCGTGTATATAATTGTCAAATAGTGGTAATAAATGTAACGCATTGCATTTCTTATCATGCCAGCACTTATACTGACAGTAATTTATGCTACCTTAAATACATATGAATAACTATTAACTTGTCATTAACAGTCTGGATCTATTATCCAGGGTAGAACACAGTACTTTGAGTCAAAATGTAAATCTGCTGTTGTATATTCATTTAAGATTCGCAGACGGAGACTGGCGCGATTGGCAGGAGGACAGACATCGCAGCCCAGCACCCCTCTCAGCACACCCCTGACATCCCCACAGAGAGAGACTCCACCTGGACCCCTCCCTGGACCCTCAGGTGCTGCACCCCAACCTGTGCCACCAGCTGCGTCTCAATCATTGGGCCTCAATGTCCACAGTGGTACCCCTGCCACATCCCCTATGGGCACCTCTGGTAAGAAATAAATAAGATCTACATGTTTATGAAAGTATTTAGCCACTTGGTAATAACTGTGTTTTTTCAGTGCTTCATTTTAAAACTTGCAATTTAGATTTGATGTTCACTGATCTAGTGTGTTGTTGTCAGCCTTTTTAGCGAGCTGTAGCCTAACCCTTCTGTCCTTCTCAGATGAGTCTGACATATTGTCTATGAGGCTTAAAAGATGAACAACATTGGTTTGACTAGTTGGATCTTTATGTTTGTGACCTTGATATTTGAACAGCAGGAGTCTGTCATAAGTCCTGAATGACATACACACAAACAGGAGCAGCTTATTGTGATCACCAGTGTCCTTGTTTGACACCCAAGTGTAAGCCCTGCCATACAGCGTCTGAATTGAGGCTTTCAACTCGTACACTGCTCTAGAAAATGCACAAGTGAGCCATGTATGGACATAGACCGACAGTTTCCAGGCATTGTATGGATACATGTGGTTGTTGCTGCACAGGTCTACTTTTTAGGGCCATTGCAAAATTAGTGAAAAGTTTTCTCAGCAGTTAGGCAAGCCTCTGTTGTAATTGATGGTTTTTCTGTTTATATTCCTTGACATTACTGTAGAAGTTTTGTATTGATCGTCGTGCAGTTGTTGTACTCGCAGGAGAGAGTTGTTAATTCCAGCCCTTCGTCCGCCATAAGATGCTGTGTGCTAATCAGCTTTCTCTCTGCCTGTTTGCAGTAATCAGGGCTTAATGGTATGGCACACCCTGCTGATCTTAAAAACACCAATCTGAGCCTTTGCTAACCCATTGCGGCTTAACAGTTGGTTCTTCCATATCTAGTCACTCTGACATAACGTATATAACACCTGAAATGGCTGCTTCATCATGTCATATGTATTTCGGGGCTCAGTGGTAAAAAATTCTTTTATTGCCTTTGAAATGGTGACAGAATGACAACTGATCATTTTAAGCACTTTTTAAGTACAACAGACGCTTTATTTCAACCACAAAACCAAACTGAAAAACTGGTATCAATGCTTCAGTAGCAACAGGTACAATTACAACAATCACAATGACATCTCTTAAAATTCGAGAGGCACAATAACATGATAAATATTAAATATAAACTGGAATTACTGCACAAGTAGCCTCATTTCTGGTATTTATTCCCTTGCTACACTATGGAACATTCTCTATCTCTATAGGTTTAAGCCTTGGTATCAGAAATTTTAGAGATCCATACATCAACTTTTTTATCATTTCAGCAAACTCTCTCAAACTATTTTTTTTTGAGACTTGCTAAAATGAGATGCTTTGTTGTCTCCCATTATCCCTGATTATTCTCCACCCTCCCTGATGATTTATTTCTTTGTTTTCATGTCGTCACAGTCCCTTAAAGGTAT